GCATAATTCATAATTAGGAAGGTATCCAAGTATGGGTCAATCTATGGAGGTTTAATAGGAACAGATCTTGTTTAGGATGCCAAAAGAGGTTGTTTAAGAATAATCGATTGGGATTTAGGTATGAGCCAATCTATGAAGTCGGCACAAGATTAGAAAGCCTTATCTCTTTTGCTTTTTTTCTAACTTAATCTTTTCTTAGGCCATCAAATACATTAACATGACACGGATCAGCATCAATATTTTGAGAGGCTTTTTTATCCTAACAAAGTGATTGAATTAGAGTTGGTGAAGACTCTTGAAAACAAGCTATTTCAAGATTTTTCACCATTTTCACTAGCTTGTAAGTTGTATTTTTATTTCTTATAGGTCATGCCCAAATTCCTCTTAATTGAGTTTTAAAGCTTGGATCCATGCTTCTAATTGATCTCCTATCTCTTTTAAATTACTACCTTAGATAAGTAAAAGATTTCTATTATGCAATGGCGTGATGAATAATGATGATGATCTATGAATGAGTGAGATGTATGAAAGGAATAAAAATAAACAAACAAATAAATAAATAAATAAATAAATGCAAACTTATTGATGTTAACATGATTCATGCTAGAGAAAGTAACAAACAAGAACAAAGTTAGCACCCAATATAAAGAAAAAAAAAAAACAAAACAAGTTATTGCAAAACTCAAAAGATATGTGACCTAATTTAGATTATTTTTACAAAAGGAAGGATATGGCTCTACCTATGGGTATTACTACTCATTATTTATGGTTTAGGATTGATTCTATAGGTTCTCAAATTATTCATCACATCATTGTCTATATAGACTAGTAAGGCACCCTAATCCTCACTCATTATAGGTTATAAGTAGAAAGAGTTCAATTTGAGTAGAAGTGTTCACTAGCCCATACGGAGATATGAAATCAAATGAAGGTGTAGGTACTTTACTCCCTCATAAGAGACAAAACTCAAGTGTAGAACTCATATTATGCATATGCAAGTTAATGACAAATAAGACAAATAAGTAAATAAATAAAACATAGACAAGAAATGAAAAATAATAAAATAATTTTTAAATTTATTAAGTTAGGTTTGGATAATAAGAAATCATTTATTGGCTTAATTCTCATTATCTCTAGTAGAATCACCAAATTATCATAACGTATAAATCCATTGACCTATCATTAGACATAGATTAAAAGAGTCACCACCAATCTTTTTTTATTTAGGTGCGATTGGCCACCTAACCGAATTTGTTTCATTTTAAAGAGAAGTCTTAAATTTGACTTAAGTATCTTTAAATTATAGATTCTAGTCTACAAACTCAGATTTAAGTTTGAGAGTGTGATTACGTGTGAAAAAAGTTATAGCACCTTCATAATGCTAATCCAAAAAATGGTACTAATTTGATTTCAAGTTATTCAAGCCTAAAAATTTTTTATAATTTATCAAATAATTTAATTATTTAAAATTAATCCTAAAATTACTCCAATAATTTTATAGTAATTTAAGATAATTTTTTCACCTTAGGAGTATTCATGAAGACTAGTCTTTTACTCTGAAGATGCTCCATCATTTGATTAATTTAGATTTTATTTAAAGAAAAAATCAGTAAAGTTTGTCAATAGTTTAGTAAGATTTATTTTGACGCAGATCTCCCAATAATTTAATAAGATTTTATTGTAAAATTATTTATGAAATTTATTTTAAAAAAATTCATTAAGCCTTTTAATAGTTGGATAAGATCTAATTCAATATTTAAATCCCCCAATAGTTTGGTAGGATTAAAAATTTTATTATTATTTTTTAGCAAAAAAATTCATTAAGTCCTTCAATAATTTGGTAAGACTTAATTTAATATTTAAATTCTCCAATAGTTTGATAGGGTTAAAAATTTTACTATTATTATGTTTAAAAAATCCATTAAGTCCTTTAATAGTTTGGTAATATTTAATTCAAGATTTAAATTTTTCAATAGTTTGGTAAAATTGAAATTTTTACTTTTACTATTATTATGTTTAAAAAATCCATTAAGTCCTTTAATAGTTTGGTAAAATTTAATTCAAGATTTAAAATTTTCAATAGTTTGATAAAATTAAAATTTTTACTATTATTTTTTCAAAAAATTCATTATAAAATTTTCAAATAATGTGGTAGAATTCATAATTTAAAATTTTTAAACCCATGAAATAAAAAATTCATAATTTAAAACTCACAATCTTTAAATTTTATTTTAAACATAAATAAAAAATGATATAAATGAATAAATATATAAATAAACAAAATGTTAAAGTTACCTTAATGGATGAAAACATGTATAAATGAAAGTATCTCTTGATCTATAGTAGCAAATAGTTACCAATTCCAATCAAAGAGCTCTACCATCAATTCCAACCAAAGAGTTTGAGTATAGATTACTACTCATTCATTTTCTGGTGGGTTTCTTTTCCCAAAGGTAGGGGTGCATGGTATTTTATAGACTTAAAGGTTTACTTCCCCCAGTGAGCCATCTACCTCCAATTTGACCACTTTATTGTCCCTCTTGGTTACAAGCCCACCCTACCGAGCTCGACAATTGTTTTTTGTGTCTTTGTATTGCTTAGGGAGTGTTGGGCTTTCTGGATTTGGCTTGATTTTTTGCCTATTGTTTTCTTTTGATTGCGAGTTGTTTATGCTTGATTCTCCCGTTCTCTCTTTTTTTTTTTATGATCACAAATTTGAATCCTCTATACAAAGATATATACTTCTTCAATTTGAAAAATATCAATTTCATCAAATTTGTGATTTTATTTTTTATGATTGATTTTCTGTGATTTGATTTTGTATGAATTAAGGTCCAAACTTTCCAAAGATTGAATTCAAAATCAAAGCTCGGTGGAAAATCTCACATTTTTATTTTTTGAGTTTTCTGGCTTTTTTTTTATTGTTTTAACTAACCTTGACTTTGACTTTTTTAAAAAATCAAAATAGACCACAAAATTAAAATCAAAGCTAAATTAAAAAATCTAAATCTAAATTAAAATTAAAACTAAAACTAAAAATTAAAGTCAAGATTAAAATCAACTGAAATCAAAACTTAAAATTTTTATTTGAGCTTTTAAGCATTGGCCCAAAATTTTTGCATTAAGATTCAATTGATAATTGAATCTCATTTTAACTCCGATAAATCTCTCAAACAAAATAAGATATCTACAATAATTATAAGATTTTTTTTCAATTTCACTATTAAATAGGCATCCAACAAATTCATGAGTTTGAAAATAATCATGAAAATATTATTTACTTGTGCTATATCAAACAATTTGTACTAAAAAACGAATCCATTCTATTAAATTCAAGATCCTAAATGCAATCTTAGTGTGTGTGTATATATATATATATATATATATATATATATATATATTGTTTGTTTGTTTATTGAATTGAAACATGTTGAGATATGCTTTAATGTTTTATTTTTTTTATTAAATTTCGCCAAATGTTACAAAGTATGACTATCAAATTTTAGTCGGATTAGTTGGTTGCTGGCTGGAGGGTACCCTTCATTTTAATTTTTTTTTCCTTCTTTACTTAATTGTTTTTCTCACATTTTTTCTTATATTCTTTTGTTTTTCTTCTTTACTTAAAATTTTCATTAGATTAAAAATGGTACTTCACTCATTGGCATCTACCATTCAATAATGATATATTGTACTGCCAGTTGAATCTTGAACATAGATTTTTTTAAGTTCAAACTTAATTTAATTTAAAATATTATTATATTAATAAAAAATATTTTATTTACTTAACAAATATCAACTTTAAAAAATAGATTTATTAATATATTAAAATTTACCATTATTTTATTGAAAGATGAAAAAATTAAAATAAAATTTAGGTTTGCGTAATAAATTGAAATTTTGAGTATTTATATTTTTAAATACTGAATTTTTTAGTATGAAAAATAAGTAAAAAAGTATTACCACAAGCTTAATTTATTTTAATCGATTAATTTATAAAATTGGATATGTGATTACATTTCTAATTATAACACTTAAAAATAAAAGAATATAAAATCATGAATTAAAAATTTCAAAAAACATTGACTTTTAATTTATCTAGTTGCTTTTAAGTTTTTGATGACACCAAAATTCTTTTGTTGTGGTTTGTCTGATTGAGTGCGTTTAAGTGTTTCAGACTTACAAGATTGCTCGCATCCTTGCTTGAACAGTACGAGGTTTGTTCTATGAATAACTTATTGGTAACTCTTTTTTTTTTTTTTTTTCTCTCCATGATTTGTTAGGAGCTCAAAGTGCTGTCTATGATGCCAAGCTTTTTAGTATTTGTTTTTGAAGCAGTTTGAGCCTATGTTTGCAGTGAAGTTCTATATTTGTCTTCCCCATCTTGGAATTGCTGGTTCCATATACATACATACATACATACATATATATATATATATATATATATATATATGTTCCCTGAATATTGTAATAAGAAATTCAAAACTTGTTATGATACAGATTGGAAGTTTGAAGGTATGGTTGTGTTTCATGTGAAACATGTTATTCTGTTAATCTGTTGAACTTGGTAGAAAAATGCCTTCCTATTTATGCTGGATCCCCATGGTTTTCACTGCTTAGTTCTTTACAGTACCAAGATACAAAACCTATATTATTTTACTTGTTAAACTCCTGGAATGCTATAACATTTCACTTTCCTTTCTTTTTATTACAATTTTACAATTGTCCAGTCACAATCAATAATTATAAAAAGATCCATCACTTATAAGTATAAACTCTACATAATATTTTGATAAACCCTACATAAGACTAATTTTTTTGGTTTAATTATAGTATTAGTGATATGCTCCAGTGAAATGCAGTGCTTTTATTTCTTCACAAAAGCTTCTCTTGCAATTCAATGGTGCATGATCATGCTTAATCATCAAACTTTAAGTTAAAAGGTCTTGAAATTACCCATATATATATATATATATATATATATCCCATGCAATTGCAAATCAAGGTAGGCAACGATGTAAAGTGATATATCAGTATAGTTCAATAAAAGGTGGAACTAATACTTAAAAATTATGGGTTCGAATGACCTTATATGAATAATGTTTTTTTCAATTAGGTATTTGTAAGGATAGAAGGGTTGAAGGATAAATTAAGAATTAAAAAAAAAAAAAATCACCAGAATATATATACAGTGCCCTCAAACCTGATCTCACACCGGCAAGAATCATGACATGTTCATGCATGGTCGTGGCAGTTGATATGTATGAAAAGAAAGCTTGCAATGCATCCATTATTCATCACAAACTCAAAGTTAAAAAGACTACCAGTTTTAGCTCGTGGCACTAGGGAGGAATTGTTCCTTTCAGCAATATGGCCAGCAAACGAATTCTTCCCATTGCTGAACTTGGTAAGTGCAAATGACAACTCAAGTTCAAAGCACTGTCCAAGAAAGCAGAGGAAACTAGCAGAGTAAATTAAGTTAAAGCAATTAAAGAAACAGACAAGACATCTGAATTGACAATCAGGAACTAAAATTAATGAGCTAATCATAACAAAACGAGCAAAAAATCATAGTTAACACAGATTTTCTAAGCGCAATTCTGTTATACTAAGGAGCCATATTTTCCCGTTGAGTAACGAGCAAGTTCCCAGACCAGTGTCTTGTTGTTGAGAGAAGCTACCATTTTAAACTTATGTTAGCAAATGGCATAACAGAAATGGATAAACACAGAGAGAGAGAGAGAGAGAGAAAGAGAAGAGAGATGCATTTGATCCCTTGAGACCTATGTTGGATATACTTCCATTCCCCATTGAGGTCATCTTGACTATTTTGCTTTTTCTCAACCTTTCTACTCAGTTGCTAATCTGATCTCAACCGCTAACTTTTTCTAAGTCCTACTCCATAATTACTTAGCCTTCTTCATCATAATCTTCTTCATCCTCATCTAACCTTCTGCCAAGCTGAGCAAGTTGAAGAGGATCAATGGCCATCTTGTCCATATCTGAAAGAGACCAGCCTGGGTATTCTTCATGTTTTGTCTCTGTTGTAGGCTCTGCCGAAGAAGGCTGAGTTGGTTCCACTGCTGCTGTTGCTACTGATGCAGCAGCAGTAACTGCATCTGATGAGGCCTTTGTATCCACTTTCTCATCTACCCCAGCATTCAGATCAAAATTCCAAACAGCTTGATTGGTATCTTCATCAATTGTGTTCTCTTTCATCGGTTCCTTCAACTCAGAACCATCATCTATCACCATTCCAGGCGTTGAATGACTTTTGTTGCTTTGCTGAAGAGTTGAGCAGGGTTCTGGTTCTGTTTCACGATGAGAATCTCTTTCCACATTTCGAGCTCCTCTTCCACGTCCCCTACCTCGTCCCCGGCCTCTCCCTCTGCCACTGGTGCCAGCATGACCCACATCATGCTGCATAGAAGACATGAAAGTGCTGAGATCCACATACACATAAATAACATGCTCATGATAATGACATTTGAGTGACAAATTAAACAAATGACTGACTTGAGCTGAATTTATAAGGCATGTAAGAGGCCTGTCATTGAAAGTATAAAAATTCACAAACATCTAAAATAACATGCATTGCAAGAACCAACCCAGTAATTCTTATGCAGAAGTATATAGCATAATACACTGAAGTTCACCAATTAATTTTTAGACCGAATACCTTTTTGTCACTGAAGAAACCATTTAGCATCATTCATTCTTGAAGTTGCACAAAAGCTCATACTACATTCTATATTCTTATAGTGTGTTGATACACACACACAGAGACATTGAATGGAAGCCATCTTACCATTCTGCTCCTCTTTGATTCTTCATCACTTTCATTGACTTCATCTCCAGCAGCTTTCCTGGCAGAATGATATGGAATCACACAACCAAATAAGTAAATCTTTTCAAATTAAAAAGTGAGAAACAAGAAGAAAGCCAAGCTTTCTCTAACCTTCTCCTGGAAATAGTTCGATCATCAGTAGCAACATCAGAATGACCATGACCATAGTCAGGAACCCGGCTGACAATGTCCCTCAGAAAATCAAATACATTATAGCTCTGTACACAATGCTTTCTGCAGTTTAGTTGGACACTTTAGTTAAACCAATGCACAACACTGAAAATCTACATCACTAGGGGTAACAAAGAGCAAGATTGGAAGCAACATTATATGATGCCATGCTGATCAGAAGACTTGTTAATTGAAAATGTAGCATGATCTAGAAAAGGATAAAAAAGATTCTTTTTCTCCCAGAATTGGGATTCACCATCTACAATAATCTTCATGGTGGATCTGTATCTAATACTTTGTGAACCAAAAAGGAGGAAAGCTGGATCAGGCCCAGCATAAAATTTAAATCTGTTAGGAATCAAATTTGTGAGAAAGGATATCTCTTGATAAATGTTGGTAAAGTAGGTTCTTATTGTTGCAATTAAAGAACAAATTTTAAGAAACTTTCTATGTCTATATTCACCCTAAACCACCCAAATTCTCTTGTAAGAGTACATGAATGGATGTTGGTTGATTACGGTGGAATCTTGATATTCTCATATCATGTTATTTTATATTAGTTTGCAGTGATGTTAATGTTTGTGGTTTTCCGAGTGTTTCTTCTTTTACTTCACTCTTGATATGGTACTGTAGTAATTCTCTCTCTTATTGATAAAGTGCATCTTTTAAGGAAAAAAAAAAACAAACAAATAAAAGAAGATCAAACATTCTTGGCCTGCTAAGTACTAACACGACCTCTTCTATATCAACAAAAATAAAACAGAAAAGAAAGAAAAAAAAAAAGGAGCACTTCAGCCAATGTAGTTGCCAAGTGGTAATTTGCTTGTAAACTAAAAAAATTACAAGTTTTTCGTAAAATCATCTTACAAGTTGTAATTGAGATAATAAAAGAAAGAAGCTAAAAATTAGTAAGCAAAGTAGAAATTATGGGCCAACAGAGGGTTCGATTTATATTTAGGATTAGGATAATGTTTGGAAGTTTCTATTTTGAGGGAACTAGTATATAGGTTACAAGTAAATACTTAAATTTGTTCCTTTCATACATTCTTTGGATCATTGGTGGTATTGGATCTATTCTCTCTCTTTTCCATTCACTTTGTCTCACTCTCTTTTTGCCTCTTACCTTCTCTTCTTTCTCTCACCCTATATTCTTTCCCACAAAAAATCAATTAGTGTTGAACTTTTTACTAAAGCAAGAGAAATGAAATGACACTGAGAATAAGTTATAAAGTACAGTACTAAATTCCTAAAACTATCACAAAAGCCTATTGTCCAAACCTTTGAAGTGAAACTCCAACAAGAATCTAAGGCATTTAATGTGGGAATCATATTTATATTGTTGCTATCTATATAACTAGTGCACAGACACATAATCCAGAAAAGTGAAACAAAATGGTAAAAGAGCATTTATATGCATGAAAACTTATATAAATGCAGCACAGACGTCAAATCCCCGAGTAGACTACAGACAGGGCATGCTAGAAAGAATAATGTTAATTATTCACTTACAAATGCAACGAATTCATGGTCTTTGCTCCTCTCTGAAGGGTAATCTCGTACGTACGATCACAAAGGTCTTGTAGAAACAATTCCAATGCTTTAGCTGCAAGGTAATAGGAAGAAGCATAAGCAAGTAATACGCATGCATGGAGGAATTATTTAGGTAAAATCACGAAAGTTAGAGTCACTCACAAACTAAAACAGGCACTGCTAATGCAATCTTCCCAACATCTTCATCAGCTTGCATAATCTTTTTAATACGAGCCTGCAAAAACAAATATGTTAGAAAGTTTCAGCACTATTCACAGCTTACATCTTAAAAGAGATAAGAAAACTATAGATAAGGGAATATCATTCCAAAAAGTTGACTCATATCCAGGGATGACTGCAATCACTGGTCCTACAGCATATACCAATCATCAGAAAAGCATTTCCTTTATTTACCAAACTTTTTAATCAATATATTACATGCATATTTTTCCAGACTAAAAACAGCTTGAAAGATGCAACAATTCGTGCAGTGCGGAACCATAAACTGTATATTTTAATTATAAGCAATCAACATTGTCCATTCTAAAAGATGATTACTATAGAACTCAATGAAAAAAATAATTCTTAAAGATTTTCGAAGCAAGAGTTGCCAGCAATTCTTTTAAAAAGAAAGGCAATTTCCAAAGCTGCATTAGAGAAACTCCTCATGCAAATTTGATCGGGTAGAAAATATGGATAATGATCCCTTCTGGAAGCCACAGTTATGTTTGCAAACTCATTGCTTAGCGCTTTCTCTTAAAATTACATTTTTCAACAGTGAAAAAAAGTTAAGGAGTGAAGCCTTTAACATGATCTTTTATCTTCCAACAGAAGGAAATACAAGGTGCCAAACAAACCATCTGGAAAAGGTGCCCAATCGGTACTACTAAATTCCAATGTCTGATTAGTGATTCCAGAAAAATATGCTTCAGACTAAGAGAAGAGTTACTAATGCAGCAAAAAACTGCTCAGATTCTCCCATAATTTGTAATCATCCGGTGTTTGAGAGTTGAAACCAGACATGAATATGATAGATAGACACAATGATTACTTATTGATTCAAAACAGGCAGTTGAATAGATAATAATCTAACCACAAGTCCCAGCCAAAAAAAAAAAATCAAATCCCAAGTTCCACCTACTGTAATTCTGCTACCTGGTAGAGAATCAAGCAACTCTCTTTTCCTGCTTCCAAGAAAAGGAGCTAAAAGAGAACAAACAAATCATAACCGACAATCAACATTTCAACATGGGCGCTTAGACAAGTTGATCAAAACTGAACTATGCTCAGAAAACCACATATATTAATTTGCACAAACTTTGATGAATAATTTCGCTTTTGAAGAAACTAAAATATTCTAACCAAAGAAATCAGCATTAAGTATGAAGACATATGATAACATTTTCAGTTTGCAGAGAAACAAAGATCACTTGGCACCTTCTTATTTCACAGAAAGAAGAAAAAAAACCGATTGAAGTACACATAAGCTACAAATTTAAAAGAGTTCACATTCCAAAACCAGAAAAATAAACAAAGATTAGCATCAACAGTTTATGGTGCTCTTCACATTCAAATATCCTACACCAACCTATAAAACTCAATTAGAATGCCAACACTAGCATGAAAGAGCCAAAAAGCAGCAGCAGAAACATACCAACCTACCCTCAGTTTTTTTTCATTCCTTTTAATAGAGAAAAAATCCGATCCCAATCACAATAAACAAAATACAACCAATTCTCATGTTCCCAACCTAATTGCCATAAAATCAATCAACTAAATTTTGGTACCAAATCATCTAATTTTTTTGAAACCAAACAAAGCCTAAAAATGACAATTCATGAGTCAAATACAACAACAACTAGACCTTATACTCCATAACTCTGGGGCCAGTGCCAAAAAGATAATCACATATTAGATCATAGTTTCAAATCTTCTTGCGCCACAATTCATGAGTCAAATCATATTTGGAAAATATAGCCACTATAGCTCTGTAAGAATCGATCAATTTGAAGGACCGTTAAAAAGCATTATTAAACCATTAACTACAACCAAAAGCAAAGAATCATCCCTAAAAAGACTATGAAAAACACAAATCCGACCACATACTCCATGAAAATTCCATAAAATTAAAACAATTATCAACTAAATTTTCGATAACCCTAATTATTGAAAACAGCATCAACTAATTTATGGCAAACTAATGACGACCACGAATCGAAATCGCCGCAAGAAAAACAATCATAAATTCGAAAACTAGAAAAGACCCAGATTTCAATTTCAATGGAATCAATAAAAAATCAAATACCCAAAACAAATTAACAACGGATAAAACAAAGAAATTAAACAAATTCAATAAAAAGCAAAAAGAAAATAAAAAAGATAGGAAGCTTACAGCTGGGAAACGGGTGTCGAGCTTCTTCTTCATGCTTTGGTTGTCAGATTTGGATCACTAAATTATTAAAATATTAAAAATAAAAAAGCTAAACGAAAAAGGACAATTGATTTTTTAAAAAAAGATTTACTTCAGAAGGAAATCAGTGTTGTTATAATCATTTCAAATATGAAAATAAAATCTAACAAAAAACCCATATCAGATCCCAACACTGCCTTTTCTGTTAGCTCAAAACCAAAGTCTTTGTTTCAAAACCAAAACCCGTCCGTACAAGTTTGACAACAGAAAATCAAAAGGTTAAAAAAAAAAGATAAAAAATATATTATTTTTAAGCCAATGCCGTTTGGTTTATCGAAGGTTTGAACAGTCCAATACCTGACGATCACGTTTGGAGGGTCGATGCTTTATTTCGTAGATTTAAGAGGGAAAATATTTAGTTACACGTGTAATCATTTTATTGGTTTTTTTTATAGTTCCATGACTTACCACGATATTTTCCGGATATTTGCTTTGTTTTCCTTTTGTTTTTTTATTTAAATATTGATATTGCCATATCGACCTAACCCAAAAAAAAAAAAAAAAAAAATCAACGACAATAGCAATAACATAAGTATAACATTTTTTTTTCTATATTTGATCATTTCAAGTAGTAAAATTATAACCATCCAAACATTAAACATAAATATTGACAACAAATTCAATATAAGTTGTTTTTGGTAATTTGATACTTAAAATATTCTGAAATTATTTCACAAACAGTAGATGACATTTTAAAATTTTTATCATTAAAATTAAAAAAATTATCACATATCATTGATAAGTGTATTAAAAAAAATACAAATATAATATAATTAAAGAAACTACATTGTAATTTTTTTAACACTTCTTGTTTAATCTCATAAGTCAATTTCCATTTGATTTAGGATTGGAATAAGTTTTTATGTCCAAGTTTGGCTTTATATTAATAAATAGTATATTTTTAAATAATTTGTGTGTGTAAATTTATAATAATTAAAATAATATACATTATATTATAACATATATGAAGATATGATAAGATACGTCATATAAACTTTTACATGGATAATTTATATTTTTGACATATAGAGTAGTAATTTAATTTTAATTCTTCACCAAATAATCCTATTCAATTCATTATTTAATTTTAAAATTTTTAAAATTTAAACTTATTTAAATCTTTCAACTATTTTATCTTAATTTAAATTAAATAAAATTTATCTCAAAACTCAGTTATTTCAAATATATATGTACAAAATTTAAAATTTAAATAATTTTTTATATCAAATCTTTAAATATTCATAACTATCAAGAGCATTATATATCTATTTCCAACTAAAACTACAAATTTTATATTTCAAATATATATAATATTTGCAAAGAATTTGATTTCTCCTTTATCACTACTTATCTTATCTTTTTAAATTCAATAAAATTATCCATAAATCTTGATTATCATGTTATGTATTAATGCCATACATTTTCTTTACCAACAGTAATTGTTAGGTTATATACATGCCCTAATTATGAGTGGTATAACATGGATTATTTTAACTTATTTATGAAATTGCCATCAATAACCATTGAAATTTATTATCATTAACAAGTTAAGCATGTGGAATTTCACAATATCCAACTCCCTGAGCTAAAATCTATGTCAATGAGATATATGTGCTTTGTATATGTTGTCATCTTTTTGTGTGTGATTGTGAATGCACACATGTTTTTTCAATAATTATCACATTGAAATGTTATGTAGTCGTGTAATAAGTTTATCTCTTTTGAAAGATGATTTTTAAGAGTTTTTGCTTTATCATTGTTTCACACCATTTACGTACATCATTTTGTGTAAGCCTTGGTTTTATGGTAATGTTTTTAACTTAAACAGTTGCTCTTAATAATTTTTCTCTGTATGCTTATTCGTTTTAAGCATAGTAGCCATACTTCCTTGATTCCAAGCTCTGTTACATGGATTTGCATTTTGGTTTGATATTGAATTAAGTGGATCACCAAATTCTCCTATATATAATCATATCACATTCTCATTAATATGTGTATTGTACAAGTAATAAACTGATTTTTATTTATAAATTAGATAAATTTATTTAATAAAATATTTTAATAGAATCAAAATTTTTATTTATAAATTAAATAAATATTATAAATATTTATGATATAAAATATTAAAATATCAATTTAAAAATATAATAAACAAAAATGTTGATTTTTGTAATTTGGTACTCTCTTTTCTTTTTTTTTAAAATAATTTTGCACTCTCCTAATACCTACTCATATCATATGTACCATAAAAAAAGAAAAAAAGAAAAATTAATTTCCTATTACCCAGTTGTTCCCAATATAAACAGTAATGAACAACGAGACAACACTGTGCACACATCAACAATAAGAATTTATGTAAATAGTCAAGTCATTTGATAATAAAGTAGTGGACATTTTCGGTAATCATAATTTAATTTTTAATATTTTTAATTCAAAAATAAAAATTTGTTTTTCAAAGGAAAAATTGCAATCTACATCTTCCTATATGAATCAAACTCAAAATTTGTCAATTGAGAAAATGTGGACAAGCAATGGTCATTTTTTTATGAAATTATTTGTACAAAAAATTACAATAATATTCAAATATTACACTTAAAAATCAATTAATTAAATATATAAACCAATGAATATCCAACGTATAGCTGAATAAATATTTGTTTGGGCTAAGTCAAATAAGTCATTAATCATGCTATGCTTGTCAGAAAAAAAATTAAAAAAAAATGATAAATGAAAAAATAAGAATAGATATCGATTATGTCCTTTTTTGCAATTCTTTTTATCTTTACAAATGAAATCTTCTTGTCTATGATTTGACAAATTTACCTAATTATGTAATTTTTTTGTGCCTAGTGCAATTTTTAGATCCATGACATATTTTTCCAAATATTTTGTGGTTTGATGTGGGAACATTTTAATTTGAAGGCATATCATCTACGATTAAATTTCAACAACCCGCTATTGACTTACTTGGACCAAAGAATAATTGACACATAAGCAAAAAAATCTATGTCAGCTTTGACATCCATGGTAATTAATGGCAAAATAAAAATATTAAAGACTTGTGATTTTATCTCCCATCAATGTATCATATGGTATGATCAGAAACAAAGTCTGTTCTGACATGTTCCTTGATACTCAATCATATAATTAACCTCTTGTTTTTGCACTATGTTTTGCAAATGAACAAAAACTTTCATGCTTAAAAGTTACTTGATTTGTTTTATAAAAGCAGCATAAATAATTGACGCAATTATGTATAATTTCTGCACGTTTGAGGGAGAATTCTATTATACTTAAGATTGATAATTCAATTCGTATTTGTCAGATTTTGATTTAATTCAATCTTATAAAATTATTTATTTTTTAAAAAATCAAGTTTTAGATTAAGTATTTTTGAAAAAAAATTAAGGTTGGGCAAAACCCATTTCCTACTTGATAAATATTTTTTATTATTTATTTAATTTTATATTTATATTTAAATAATAATATTAAATAATATTTTATATTATAAAATTAATTTTTTATTAATTTTAGATAAGATAAAGTCAATTGTACATTTAAGCATACATAGATCGAATCGGGTTTAAATATAAAAATAATATTTTTAATATTAAATCGGATCGAATTTAAAAATTAAGTTTATAAAATTGGCTCGGGTTCGAGACAAGCAAAAATTTGCTCCAACCCAAGTTGCCATTTGTTTTGTCCCTTGGCGTGAGAGAGATTGAAAATTATACTATATAATCTTATTTTCATTACACAGAAAGATTACAAGGAGCTAGGAGGCTGGACTACAGAGAGGTCCATTATCAACCAACCTGTTTCTTGTATGATACTAAGTAGAATAATTCAGGAAAATGCATCAAAACATTATTCAAAACAAATAAGAAAGTTACGGGGTTTTGATTTGGCTTTTAAGTTACTAATTGTTAATTTGGTCAGAACCGGGACTGAATATAGGCAACCACATTCTTGTCCAACTGGAAGGCCTTTGTGAGAACATCAGGATTGATTGGTGGGTTTGAGCCAAAGACTGCATTAGCAATAGTGATAACCCCTGCATTTTGGCTGCCGAGACCAGCAAAGGCAACAGCCTTAGTTTCCCCTATATTGAACTGGAAGTGAATCAAACCTTTTGGGAAAACGAAAACATCTCCAGGTTTCAGGACTTTAGTGAAGAGACGGTTATCTGGGTTGGACTGTAACAAAGCCAACATAAAGTGTGCCCTCTACAACAACTAGGATCTCAGCTCCTCGAGGGTGTAGGTGAGGAGGGATTAGTCCACCATAAGGTGCATAGTCGATTCGAACCAGAGATATGCCAAGAGTGTTAAGTCCTGGTATCTGGTCAACATTGACAGTAGTGACATTTGATCCAACCAGATTTGATGTGTTTCCCGGCATGTTGAGGCCTGAAAAGAAGAAGTCATCTGCTACTGCAAGCTTTGGGTCCTTGCAGAACTTCCCGTTTACAAACACTGCAGGAAAGAAATGATAGTTGATATATATCATCTCATGCAAAAGTAGAGTACCTTTCAGCAATGTTATTATATTAAAATATTGCTCCTAAGCTGCTGAATGTCATTCAGCTTAGGCAATATTAGCTTCATGATTATGAACATTAACATAAAGTCAACGTAGACAGAATGCCTTACCACCATCCTTGGTGTCCTTGAGAGCCACACAGAAGTCCTGCAGAGGACTAGGGTCAGAGGCCGAGGCTAATGAGAAAGCAAAAGCCAAGAGGGCAAAAGCAACAAGGATAGAGTCCATTCCTTTCATAAAGATACACCGGCAATGCTTATCTGACTTAACTGGTTGTTTGCTATTGTTTTGAACAAGAGTGGGAAACTATGCGAGTGGGAAACTATGCATGACAGACTGCTATTTATAGATGGGAACCAACGGCCTGGTCCCTATTCTCCTCAAGTATCAGGAAAAGACTTTCTTAACAGCAATCATTTTAAAATAATTTCGCTCTTTTATCATGGTTTATTTTACTCATTCTCTGCAGCTATACATGTGCTTTAATTACTGAAAAATGGTATTGGAAGTTGTCATGATTCTGTCTATGGTGCTTTTGCAGTGTAGGTTGGATTTGAAAGTCAGACAACGAGAAAACAGTCCAATCTTCTGTTGTCTGACTCCAGAATAGAACTCAATCAATTGATATACAAAAAGCATGATTCTTGGAGCACATGCAATAAATTTATCTTAGGCTTAGAGCTTAGGCACATATGTAGTTAGTTAAGCTACGGCACCTATGCTTATCACATTCATTTTTTTTAAGGTCAAC